GTTTTTCCGCCATTTTCCCCACTAAATAGCGCCCTGCGAGCATTTTAGGCTGAGTACCAAATTATCGTTCCAACTGATTATTGAATTATCGTGCCTCTAAGGTCTGCGACAGCCGGTCGAAAAATATCCGGATTCTACCCTCCTGTTCGACTCGTCGCCGATCTCCTCGTCCCCCTCGATGATCTCCACCACGACTGTCGCCTCATGGGCCCGACGCTCTTCCAACACTCATCGACTGGATCTGATCCCGTTTGTATTGCTAATAAATCAGTCTGCTATTCGTGTATATTCAGAAGCAGCCTTCCGGCACGCGGGGTCATAAACCCGCAAATATGACTTTCCCCAGCTTTCCTCCAAAAAAAACTAAGGTTGAGCGAAGAATGGGGAGGAGGGGATCTGGCGCCATTGAAGCGAAAAAATACAAGAAGGGTTACAAATAAAAACACTTGTCTCAGAGAGAACACGACTTTACTTCCCCTCCACCGACCAAACACGACCCCCTCCTCCCACCTCGCTGTGTATGTCCACTCCTCCCACCTCGCTGTGTATGTCCAAACTTCATGTTCCCTGAGTTCGAGTGTAGCCTGAGGTCAAGAATTTTGCCCGTAACTCAACATTCTGCGACAACTGTATGAGCGCGAACTGTGGCTTTTAACAAGCAGTTATCGTATGAAAACAAACTGGTAGTGCAAGAACCTTTCTGCACAAGGAACTTTGCTCATACGCGACGGAGGGCCTTCCTCTAGGGAAAGCCAAGAGTCTTATTGCACCAAAATGCCCTATTTCAATGGAGTAAGGCCCATAACGGCATACAGGAAAAGCACGCTTCTACAGTGCGAATGCAATACCTTTCCACGAGCACGACGAGACGCTTTAGTAAATCGCAGCTTTCTAGGGTTACGCTTCTTCTTGAACAGCTTGTTGCATTTTGATCGACAAAACTTGAAAATCTGAAATGACACAATCTGCTTTGGGTTCACTCCGGCCTTTAACTGAAACCGTTCACTGAAACGTACTGTGGCATCGTTTCTAACAAACTGAACACCGTGACCAGGATAGATCGGTGAGGAACAGAAATAACAAGTTTCTATCCGCATATTTACCCTAAAAGTCACACAATTAAAGACCAGAAA